TCATGATGAATAGGAAAAAGTGAACTGAAATCGGTTGGTATTTAGCGGAATTATCAATTATATTCAAAACAGTACGCTATTTAATAAAGTCGAAAGTCACGTGTCTTGGACGAATTTGCCAAAACCTTCGAAGCTGCCACATTAGTACCAGTATTTGATATGCCCAACCTTCCAAATTCTATTTTAAAATATTGGAAGGTAAAAAAATTACCCAATTCATTCATCTTGACAAGCAAATGGTACGTTGGATGAGGAGAGGGTGGGAACAGAAGAAAGTTGAAAAGGAAGTGAGAGTATCAACTAGGCCACACTTCAACTGACTTTGTGAATTTCACTTGTTTCACAGTCCAAATTAACGCCCATATTGTTCACTCCTCATTGACTGGTTTGGTCAATTAGGATGATAGCTTTTAAAAGTTAGGTTTTCTTCATACAAAAAGAAAGGACTTACACGATCTTATCACTTGAAATTCACGCGCAGCAGAGCTAGTTAGAAGTTCTAAGTAAGTAAATTAATGGAATAAGGAATCTTGCAAGTAAGTGCATTTGATAGAGACGAATCTCTTGTTCAATAGACCCGCATTTAATCAAAACGGCATACATATTTGTGTCTATCAACGGCTGACCATTCGACCAATTGACAATTAGTCCAGGCAGTAAAAATGAATAAAAATAACATTACTTAATCAGTGGTCTGACTTTTCTCATTTGCAAATGTTTTCTTTAAATTGACCCTCATGGTACTCGTAAACAAAACAATTGCAAAATTTTAACTTGTGGGAAAGACTTAAAACAAAGAGTACAAAGCACAAAAGACAAAAGAGTTGGAAAGAAGGGGACTTATCAATGTTAACTTACTTCCTCTCAATGTGGGGTGTACGATAGACTTACCTCCACGTGGAGCACCCCGGGCAACGTATAATCATACGACAAAAAATTCACTAAATCGGCAGTTGACCTCTCACTTCAAACAACTATCACCCCACTGTATGTCATAGTCGACTACTTCCACAGTACTCATCTTACCTTTTCTCTGCCTTTGTGTCTGTCTCTTTTACATCTTTGAAACACTCTTCTGTTCCACCCCCCCCCCCTCTCGATTTTTTTCACTTTGATGTTCCTTCCCCTCTGTGAAGCCTGGAATCAACTAAAGGGCTAATGATAACTATCAAATCGCCTGTCATTTTATATAAATTTTCCCTTAATATTGTACAACTTAACTTGCCAACCTCTAGTAGCCACAGGTGCCTATTAATGAATTACTAAGTTGTCTAGACAATGCACCTTTCTAGTCAATTTTTGATTATTATAGAACTGTGTTCAGATATCCACCCGGTTTTATTACAGGGGCAACTCTACTTTACATCAACTATTGTTTTTCGAAATTGGCATGTTCCCAAGTTATAAAGCTAATCCTGTGTTAGAAAGTCTTCCTGAATGTCATGGGAATTTTATAAGCTAGAGAAAATTAACAAAACCGCCGATGATGAAAAGATCATTAGCCAGGGAAGGAAACTTCACAGAGAACAATACTCCCACCTCTTCACATTTAACCGGAAGTAGATATTAATTTATGATGGTATGGGGATTTCTTGTTTTGGGAGGGGGTAGCCGGCGGCCGAAAAGGCATTAAGTGCGTAAATCAAATTCGAGTTGTTTTGCTTGAAAGGAAGGCATGTAGGTGGGAGGAGGATTATGACTCAGCCACTTTTTATGCATGACTCAGTGTGTGTCAGACGTCACTAAATTGCCTTCAGCAGGTGTGAAGATGCAGGTGGCACATCAAACAGGGGTCATCCATTTTGGAAGGGTAGTCACAGGTACCTCCTCATGCTGACATCAACTGAATAGAAACTTGGCATTGACATCTACTCATTGGGTTAAGCAACGTTAAGTAGACATTTAACGCATCAAATTAATTTTGACAATATAAGAATAGAATAAATCAGGCTAAATTTCAAAGTCTGATCATTCAAAGAAGGGGAAAATTAATTTAATTTTGGTGGGACATTGTCTCTATTTCAAATCGGAAAGCGTGAGTTCGTTTGAAATTAAAACAAAAAGAATGACAATGTGAATTGCGGCATCTATGAATTATATTTCCGTTTCTTCAGAACTATTTTTTCAGTTTAAGAGACTAGAATTATTTGGAGTTTCGATTAGTTATTTCTTCAAAATTTTATGTAAATTTGAATAGTTATCCAAGATTTCATTTTTTGGCTAACCAACGGTTACACAAATTGGTATTCAGTGGATTTAAATGTTATTATTTAGACAAACCACTGCCAGTTGATGAGACTTTACGTAGATTCAATTAAAGATAAATTTTGGGCAGTTAGGATAGTAAAATGAAGTGGCTTGTTTTGTGATTGAATATTAATTACACAAGAACTGGCGGTTAATGCTATCGTGCTTCACATCCACCCGGTGAACACCCAGTCACTCTACTATGAGTCATACTAGTTGGGCCCTTGTCAAATAGTTGTCAACTTATGATCGATGTCAGCCACAGAAAACTTGCCCTCTGGAAAGGAACAGAGAATCTTTTAGTGACAGTCTTTCAAATTAACAATATCTACCATTACCGTTGGTAATTCTAATAGTGATATGTACCTCAAATCTGCCTTAAAATTAATTCTATTGGCGAGTAAAATGAAAATTCTATATTAATAAGTTGGGTGTGCGATAGACTTACCTCCACGTGGTGCACCCTGGGTAATGTATACTCATACGGCAAAAAAGTCTATTAACCGGCATTTGTCTTCTGACTTCAAACTACCATGGCCCGACTACTTGTCATATTCGACCCCTTTCACATTACTCATCTTACCTTTTTCTCTACCTTTGTGTCTGTCTGCCTCTTTTACATCTGTAAATCGCTCTTCTATCCCCCCCCCCTCGACTTTCTGCTACTTTGATGAACCTTCCCTCTGTGAAGCCCGAAGTCAGCTAAATGGCTAATGATAGCTATCAAAAAGCCTGAGATTTGAAATAAATAAATATTGATAAGTTGCCTGGAGGGGGGAGGTATGTGACTTAGTTTTAACAAAAACATGCCTACATTCCTATTATATTTATTATAATATTCGGAAATGAATCCCGATAAAAAGGAGTAATAACTAATTATGCCCTACACATTTTAATGAAATTGCTTTGGAAAAGCCTTACGAAGTCTAGTGAGGGGCTTGTTGATTGATGATTAAAAGTACTTATTCCTTCTGACAGGAATAAGTTAGAATTGATTAATACCGCATCTCCATGCCACTAGATCGGGATTGAACAGGCGCCTTCTAAACAGGAACGAAAGCGAATAGTGAATGTAGGTCAAATGGTTAAAGTGAAGGGAAGGTAAAAGAGTTATATGCCTCTAACTTGACAGGCCAGTACGGATTTGAGAGGTCAGCAACGTGAATCAGGGGTGTGTGTTGGGGGTGGGGTGGGTTGTGCGTGTGCATGGGCCTGACGCTTCATATTGAGGTCACAACTGATCACTACAATGTATTTTTTAAAGCACTGGTCATTTAAAGAACTTGTTATTGATAGTCAAAAGACGCACAGCTTAAAAGGCAGTCAATTTGCTTGGTTTTACTTCATGAGAGTTAGAGTTGAAGTGATTGGTTACGAAAAGGGATCTTTTTATTTAAGCTCACTCAGGGGTGTGAGATAGATTTACCTCCTCGTGGTGCACCCTGGGCAACGTATAATAATACGGCCAAAAAGTTTATTAACCGGCAG